GTCACATGACTTTGCCCACATGTGGCCAACAGTCATGTTTAATGTTCTTCGTTATTAAACATTTGCGCATAAATAAGTGACATAATATTCAGTACTTAAAGTTCACTCTTCGGCCGCCCCTCATCCGCCGTTTTTTTCGGCAAAATTATCCACACCCACCGCCGCGCTATGCATTCTGGGATATGTTTGGCCACGAAGTCTACACTGCCACATCCTTAAAATTCAGGGAAATGAAGGACGCATTTGATGGCCGCATTTCGAGCAGCCTTTGAATTGGGACAGCCTTCGTCGCGTCGCTGTGACGTAATCGGCCTTAAAATGCGGCCTTTAAGGCTGCAGACCCTGAATTGGGATACAGCCAATGTTTTCTACAGTCATTGGTTGTGACTATGACCCCACAAATAATGCTTCTTTCTGAAACACATAACATGACCAAAATCTAATTCTCGCCCCCCTGGTGGTTATTACAAAAAATACAGGTTCAAGGCACTTCTGCAGTGGCCAGAAGCTGGATCCAGGGTTTATACCAGACCCGGGCACGGCCCACAGGTGCCACCCAGCCTTCAATCGTCCCTGAAAATCACCATTACACGAGTAGACAGGAAGTTTAGCAAAGTGCAACAGAGTGTCTGGTGGACTCTGCCACTCGAAGATGCTGAGAGAAAAAGAAGCATGATTCAGGAGAACAGGACGGACTGAGGCTACTACAGGAAATCTGGTTCTTCAGCTGAAAAACTAAGTGGACAGTTTATTGACTTTGTGCTCTGGAGTGTGAGCCGTGATGACCACCACACAGCCCAGTTACTCATTTTTGTAGTGGGACACTGGGAGTTATGTAGGAGCTGGCAGCAGTGCACTCAGTGAAAGGACTACAACTGTTCATGGAGGTAACTGCACGGAGGTGAAATGGGACAGACTAGGAATGTTTGTTACATAGTTCATTATATAGTGACAAAATGTTGGCTTGTTTCATATTTTCTAACTGTGCATGTAACTGTAACATATACTCTGAGCAGAACTGAGTTCAGTTTATTGGTACTTACCCCCGACTGTGTATATATGTATATATATATATATATACAGGGAGTGCAGAATTATTAGGCAAGTTGTATTTTTG